ATTAGAAACGGAAGAACAGTTCTCTGTGCGGATGATAAGAATATCCTTTGCGATAAAGAAACCGTAAATAGTACTATATCAGATATTTCAAATCGGTTCCATAATAACAAATTAATAATAAATGAGAAGAAAACGGTTTCAATGCAGTTTTTCATTTCAAATAAACAGCTCTGTACTCCATTGAAAATAAACGGTGTGCCATTGACTGATATTAGATGTGACAGTATCAACAGCCCACTATAAAAAAATCACATATATTACATGTGCAACACCTTGCCAGATCCTAAAAATTACATTAAACGATTAAATTCGATACAAAAGTTTAAGTCCCATGTAAAATCTTTTCTGCTGCCCAACTGTTTCTATACAATTAGAGACTATACCGAGCATCCAAACGGAAAGTAATATTAATTTTAACGACGACATTTAGTGTATTATTTATGATTCGGATTGTATAATTCGAAAGAACCTATAACAATTATTGTACTTCAGCTTCTGGGTCAATGACTCCGATCTTGATGAGGTTTTCGTCCTGTTTCCCTGATACTTGAGCAAATACTAAGATGGCCCCTTGTTTTGCTTCTGGACAAAAATGTAATTTAGAAAAATGGTCTCCCCAAAGCACGTCACACACAGTTTTTAACTCTTTTCGACAAAAATAAAAATAAAAAGTATTGCATTCACGTATTAATTTTTACCCCAAATAGTAGTACAATTATCACGTCAGGAAAATGGTATCGCCTGAAATGACGTTATAATTGGAAGACAAATGATATGTTACGAACAGAATAGTGAAAACAGTTTAAGGATAAAAGTTGTTTTAAATAATTCATGTGTAGTGTATTTTAATTCTTTAAAATCTTATGTCATTTCCGACTGTGAATCGCAAACCGTGAATGATGGCGAGTTCAAATCAAATCCGTAGTGGGACTCCCCAGATCCTCTTTGACTTCTGCGGCACGTTCAACCCTGAAGCTATGGAACATTCTGGACACAACGTGTATATGCTCTTAGACTTTATAAGCAGACGTACCATGAAAGCAGATTGTGGTACGAGAAGAAAGCAAAATATTTTAGTTAATTCATTGACTGCGAAATAAAAACGTAACCTCTGGGAATTTGAATCAATTTTTCAACAAATATTCTTTCAGATCATAATAAAAGTATTTAAAAATATAAATCACAAATAGAGATGTACTAGTAGCGTAACCAGAATTTTTCCGATTTGAATGTTTGTGAGAGTGTGTGGAGTATACGTAGGCGTCCAGTCGACGCAAGGTTTTCTTTTCAAACATTTTTCATTTATGCTAAATTTAAAATTCATTTTTATTTGCCGTTTTATAGTTACTCATAACGTATTGAATTGAGATATTATGGTACAAAATTGAGAAAAGCTGTATTTGTGAATATGTGTCGACCGATGAACCTTGTGTTACATTTGAAGAATTAAATAAAGCAAAAACTGTTAATTGAGAATTTCGAAATAGACTAGGCGAATTTGTTTTGGATGGGATCAAAATATGAAGATTATTTGTGAGGTCCCTATATTGGCTAAAGAACAAATACTACTTGCTAATACTACACAAAGGAAATGTGCAATGTATTTCATTCTTGATATAATCAATTAATACAATAAAAATGTAGGCCTAATGATATTTTGAATAACAAATGAACAGTTACTTCCAGAATAGTCACCTATAGGCACTTTTCGTGACATTTTTACCAGAACAATACCAAAAAATAAAATAAAAGCTTACACCAACAGTTGAAAAATCTGAAGAAATTTATTTAGGTGTTTGTTCAGTATGAATGCGGCGATGGATTTTCAAGAAGAAAAATCTATTGAGGCATAATATTTTTTTATTATTATCGACAAGGTTTTGAGATTGTACTTCTGTTCCTTAGGTCGCACATAGTTTTTGACCTTCAATAAATCGAAACAGCACCGTCGGAAATCTTTCGAGTGAGACTTGAATAATGACGGTGTGTCACAAATTCCAGCCAAACTCAGTGAGACGTAAATATACTATCCATACCTAGACAGACCATATTTGCACAACATGTTTTCGTTGTACGTAAATAAAATACCTGAATGTTTTCTAATATACTTGCCGTAAAATTTCGGAACAAATGAGCAAATTAAACAAATCGAGATCCAAGTTTACTGCATTTAATTTTCTACTGAGTAAAAGTTAAGCATAGAATCTCAAAACTGTGAATCACAGATTTATTTTATTTAAAAAAAATTAATGTCGCATCAACTACGAGGTCATTAGCGTCTACTATTGCGTGTAACGGTATAGTAACTATGAGGATGACACGATATGATGATGGAGTGAAAGGATGAACACAATACAAAAATGCCCGAGGTGGGTCTCGAACCTGCGATTCTTCGGTGTGAGATTGCTATGGCACTATTGCCTTAGCGATCTCGGCCATCCGGATCGAATTATGAAAGCGCGTCGGTGCTGGATCTCACCATACAGTGAGGGAAAAATCGCCACCACAACCACCTCCCAAGACAAATCATGCACTACACTTACGGTACTAATGACCCTGGTAGTTGACGTGCTCGAAATCACTAAAAGAATCAATCTACGTTGGCGAACAGTTTGTGGGGGAAAACAAAACAAATAGATTTCACAAAAATTAATAAAGAATCAGACTCACAGTGAAGTTAGAACGACAAAGATATTGAGACAAGTATATTGACCAATTCCATTTAAAATTGTCCGAAAAAGAGCTTTTCGTCAATGTCAAAACTAACATCGCACGATCTGCATATCCAAACTAAGATTCATTGCATGGTTATTTCCTAACTTACTTTCTTTTTGTAACATATTGTAACGTATTAGCCAGCGTGCCTCATGGCATCTATTTGGGGACGCTTGGTAGAGGATTAGCCTCGCCACAGGAAGAAGGGTTTTTCCGTAAAGGCAAGAACGCGGAAACGGGAGACACAAGGCGTTGGCGTCTTCCGGCCTTTAGAAACTTTTCACTGTTATAACAAGCGAGGGGGTGGCGTGACGTAGTAGGTCACGTGGGCCTCGCCTATATAACAGAGTGTACAGAGCCAGTGGGTGTGTTCTGGAGACAGTGGGAGAACCTCGTGCGTGTGCACAAAACTTGGCGCCGCGACGGTGCATATGCGAGCCAGGCTCGCGAGGCTCGAGTCACTAGTTGACGAAGCCTGCGGACTTTATGTCCTTGGGTGACTGCGTTCACGGGGGAGCGATGCTGTGTGCGTGCTCCGAGGTGAAGAGTGGTTGAATGCCACGATTCACGCCGATTCTCAATCGGATAAGATCGCTCCTGCGATCGAGGCAAACCAGCCGTTGGTGCGCCAGAACGGACTTTGTGTCCCAGTGTGACATCCGGTCACGGAAGCTAGACTTTGTGCGCGCTTCAAAAGTAGGAGTGGCGAATGCCACAATCAAAACCATCTTCAATCGGGTTTGGATCGCTCCCGCGATCAGGGGATAGTAGGTCTATCAGAGCTAGGGTGCAAGTAAATTATTAAGTGTATATATTTGTTTTGTTTTATTTGTTAATAAATATATTTGTTATATGAAAGCTCTGTGTCTGTGGTCGCTGTGAGTATCCATGACGTCACAATATTAAGTTTTGAGGAGATAATAAAATTTATTCTTTACTGAAACAAACAACAAATTTCATACTTAAAATGAAATCCGCTTCTGACTTCGCCGACGTTCGGGTCAAACGTACTCCCGTGGACTTGAAAGTCTACAACTCGCTTCACACTTCTGGTTCAGAGTTCGTTTAAATTAATGTTTTGACGATCATATTGGACTGTCTTTTGAATTTGTTATTGATAGTACAACTTTTTTTTTAAAAATCTGTCACTTTTGTGACAACGTTCCTCTTTTGATTCAGCTTATTTAAATAGAACTTTTATGAAGAAAGTGTCGGTAAACCTGTTGGCGAAGCAACCCGCAAAACGGTATGGTATATGTGATATTAAAAATCGTGATGTACCAAATAAATATTGTGAATCGTACATTTGGTTGTCTATAATTCAAACACTCCAAAACACCGAAAATAAGCAAACTTTGCAAAAATCAAACGAAAATCAAAGATGCCATTCTCACAATAATACGAATACGCCACTAAGTTCAACCATACATATTTAAAGACGCTGCTCATTCACGAGGGTTTCAATGTGTCGTTTTTCGCATTTGTTCACCAACTTCGCGTCGTTGAGAATTGATTCGTAAAAAGAGATTAATGGTGAAGATTCTTCATTTTTTATAGGTAAGGGGATCTTTGTTATTTATAACTTTTATTTTTATACTAACTTTTTGATATAAATTATGTACCTTGTGCATGTTGTAACAAAAGCAACAAAAGGTGTGATGCGCAGTTTAAAACTATCATTTAACAGGCATTATATACTGTATTCCCTCCGAACAGAGGTACATAGTTCCAAACAGGTAGTGGAACAGGCAGCGCTAGGAAAAAGCATTTCGTGCCAGCCCGAACGGCAAGCAGCAATATTCAAGGTCACGTCAATTCGTTACCTTTTCGTGGCGTTCATTCTGAGGGGATCTTTTCAGGGGCCAAGGCGAATCGCACTCGCATAAATATGCAATATTCAATTAACGTATTTCTAAGTAATATTAACAGGAACGTTTCCTTGACAATGCATCAAATAACTTGAAATATAGTTTTTCTGTTGGTTTGAAATAATTTCTTGCGTTAAAAGAATGTGACATTTAAAAAATGATTCAAGAGGATTATTAAACGAGCTTCAAGTGTTATTTTCTTACATTAAAAAAATATAGTAGGATACAAAATTTAAGCAGAGACAAGTGAACATTATGAAGTACACAAACTACCGGATTATTGTTTTACATGTCGACAATGTGTGTAAATAATATATGACACAAAATGTACAGATACACAAGCGGCGCACCATACGACAATACATCTTGGTTTTTAATGAGCAAATACTAATACAAGGTGGTAATGAATTGGATTACCTTTGCGTTGAGCTCCATCTCCATCAACTACTACGCTGCACAATATTTGCCACTGACTTCATTTACACTAAACTCACAGTTTTATCGTCACCTTCAAATCTAATTAATCCGAAAATACGGATCACTTGAAATTAAATAAATGTTATAACGCATCACCCGCATAACTACATTAGAACACAGTTAAATATATAAGTAAATTCCAATAGAGACTTCCATTGTGCACTGCACAGTGTTCAGTCCAGTCACAAACTGAGCACGTTATCGCGACCTCCATGGAGGCAGGCGCAGATTGACGAGGGGGGGGGGAGAGAAATTTCCCCCCAAAACTTTCTTGAGCAACTATTAATTTGAACTTCTCACGAAACTAGCAAGTAACTAAAGGTGCTCCAATACCACGTACTTTCTCGCCCGTATTTTCACGCCAAATTACGAAAAACGTACTAAAATTTTTGAAAAGTTTCAAATTGTTTCAGATTTTTAATTTTTTTTTAATTTTTAAATTTTCGGAAAGGAAGACGTCGAAAAGATTTTCAATTATTTTAATTTTCAAAAAATCAGAGTATTCAATGAACATTAGATCAACACCATTATCTTACACGTTCTGTAGGCTATCCACCAACAATATTTCATCAAAAACTATGATACCGCTTTTGAAAAGAAAATGTTTGAATGCATTTAAAAATTGCCTATATTTTACGCAAAATTAGGCGGAATTTCCAAATTGTAAATGGACTTATTTCAAAATCTATCTTTAGGGAATAGATTCCATTAAGGGAATAAACCTCTTCTATATTTTAGTTGTAGAAAGACTCCGAAAAAATTTTGAACTTTTGCAATCATCCAAAAATTAGGGTTTTTAACGAACATCTGTATCATTCTCTTAAACGTCCTTTACAACATGTCCTGTAAACATATACATACTCGGACCAAGGAAGAAATAAGAATAATGACAAAAACGATCAATGTTATTTCAATACATTCGCATTCAACATGACAATTGCCAAACTATTAAAAACCAAAATTCAGAATACGTCCGTCGTACAAACTAAAATTCTTGAAATTTTAAAACTTAATAGAATTATAGCGTAAAATTTACCTTCCGCAACATTGTAGATAAAGTAATCGAATTTACGACACTCGTAACTATTTTTATAGCCAGTGTTTGTTTGACTGTCAAAACAACCTAAACCACTTTCTCACGATTTCATTGAGGTACCTAGACATACACTAACAAGTTCACAGTTGTAATTAAACCTCTTCAAAATTCAAGTGAGTTTATTTATAAAATGTCACATTTAAATATTAACAATTTATTTGAAAAACATGAAAGTAATTTTGAAATCTGTAAGCTAATGTAAATCACATTGTTTCGTTTCGCAGACAATTCTCCCTATCTTCAGAATCTAGAAATAACAATCAAATTACAATGAAATGACAGAAGGCAAAATACAATTTCTTTCTGTTTTTCACTTCTTAAGGTATGTAAATTTTAATAGCTCACTTTGATTTGCATTACATTTTATAAATGCTTTCATATACAAATTATATGTCTCGTGTCGCGCGATCAGGCACTCGTCAAGAGTACAGAGGTTAGTGGCAGGGTCAGAAGTGAACCTTTCAGATGGTGGAAATATAATATTCCTTTACTCTGCTGAAACATGTGTTAATTACATGCTTCTTCGACTGAATTGTAGATCAGGAGGTGATAATAGGGAAACAAATAAGATATATGTTCAGTTTTTTAATGTTTCAAATACATTTTTCAAACAGGCATTTTTGGTTGTGTCATTTCATTTATCCTACTACATTTCTGAGGGATTTTGAGCTATCTGCACGTCACACCCATAAGATGAAATAACCTAAGAACAGATTTAAATTGAACGAATTGGCGAAGGAAAACTGCGGTTTTCTACTTCTCACGATAAAATAAGCTCACTGAAATCTTGTACCCGGGAGTCGGTCTGTAGTATGATTCAAAACAAAATTCAAATTGCCAAGAGCGTATCTTGGACTTCATATTCTCAGGGTGTCACTTTTCCATTCTACACGAAATTACTACAAGACGAGCAAATAAAACACATATTAAGAGTAAAGGAACCTACTATATGTACGAGTAAAGGTATAAATATTTTTCTCCTCCCCACTAACACCCATTGGCTCCCGATCCAACACGTCCTACCCTCATCAGCGGGAACGAGACCCCAAAAAATATGTGACCGGGGAATTGCCTACGGTTATCAACGATCCACAAGACCACACGGCCGCACGTCGCCGCTACCTTGTGCCTCCCCACCCCACCTTCCCCCACCTGCCCGGCGCCCATCCCCTGCGCCTCAGTCGGCAGCGAAGAATTATCCACCGCTTCCATTTATTAGCGCCCCCGAAATAAATTCCTTGGCCGCTCCACAAATCATGCGCGGCCGAAGCCCCGTCGTCGGAGCCCCCGACGGCACCCAATGGACCCTGGCCGCCTCGCCCCACAGTGGGCCCAAACGGCGCAAAGGCACGCGCGGCGATGGTGCAATGGTTAGCGTACCAGTCTGTTGTACACAAGTTTGCGGTTTCAAACACGATCGAAGCCGTGGCATTTTAAGGGCGAAAACATCCTTTGCACGCCTTTCTTCGAAGGGGGAGTAAAGCCGGCTGTCCCATGTTAGTAGATTTACTTGCATGTAAAAGAGCCTCAAGCCTAAATGACGCCTCTGAGCTAAATACAAAATCGCCTGTTTCTCGCCCAAGAAATGCCTCCTTCTGCTAGTTGGTGAAAGAAGCGTAGCGAAATTTGCGTGGTCAGACGGAAGAGCAGGCCTCATGGCCTGTGTCTCATCACGTAAAATAAGGCATTAATTCAATTCATTTCAAAGGCACACGCTGTAAAATGTTTAAAACATATTCGAGATAATAACTTAAGAGGGGACAATGCAATCAATAATCAATGGAATAGTTAATAATTAACTATGAATAATTTTTATCCTGCATATTACGTTTTGTTTCCTTCATCTTTTTTTTATTTTTCTTCTTCTTCTGCTTACATTGCTGGTCGTTATTTTTCTTATTTTGCTTCTTCATTTTTAGCATCTTCTTTTAATTATTCTTTGTCTCATTCTTCTTCCTTTGCTTCTCTTTTGGTCTTCTGCTAATCATATTTCGTCTCCTATTTTTTTCAAGAACATCTACTTCATTTTCTATTCAGTTTCATTTCTTTAATATCGTTATTACCGTTTCATTATTATTTTATCCTTATTATTTTTCTTCAGTTTTTCACAGTGTTCAGTTTTTCTTCGTTTTAATAGTGTTGTCCTTCCACTTCATCTTCTCCTTTTCACTTTCACGCTACCGCTGACGCAGTTGAGAGATATTTATGCAATGCAACGCGAAAAAACGGACTAACTCTTATTACAGGGTCCTGGCACATAGAAGTTAGAACGTAGAAGTTGACAAATTCAGTTTCTGAATCTAGAAAAAACTCTAAGACTTTGTGTAGCCAGAATCCATGTTTTATGGGTCCTTGTTACCCAAACGTCGAATGAAAGCAAGACGTCTGTTTGTCTGTCTGCCTGTCTGTGTGGACGGACGGAATTTTGGGGGTACTTTACATGAAACCCCTTGGACAGTTTCAAAATTTTCAAAATAATGCCTACATTGATTTTAATTAAATTTTGTAGTTGGATAGCGGGAAGGATGTTTACGAGAAGGGTGCATGTCTCATTTTCTTGAAAAGGTTGATTTTTGGAACATTGCAAAAAATTTTTTTCGGTCTCTTCGTACATCTACATTTATAAGGATAGAGATTTTTTCCTTAATGAAATCTGTTCCTTAAAGATATACTTTGAAATAAGTTTTTCGAAGATGTGAGTACTTTTCGCGTAATTTTGCGTGAAAATACGGGCAAGAAAGTATCGTGTTTTAGCACCAATAGTTCTTCTTGTGCTAATTGTTTCACGGGACGCAGACGTCTTGGACACATGTCTTGGACACTTGGAAGCAATTGAAGGATAGCCTAGAATGGTCACGTGATTAATAAACTTATGTCTTCTATTTCATATCAATATATCAATGTTTTAATGTAAATCTTATGCTGCAGCAATTGACTACTACAAACAAAGCTGTTTAATAACACTATGTACATTTTTTTACTGGAAATATTTGCAGATATTGAATTGATATAAAGAAATTTAGAAATATGTAATGAAGTTGTGTAAATATTCACAAAGTGTTTGCTTTGCTTCTGATCAGCAAATGCAACTTTTCACTACCTGCGCACCTTTTCTTGAGATCTAATAATTACAAAGAGAAATTCAAAAGTTTACTGACGCTGACATTAAAAAATGTTATTCCAAAAGTACAAATGTGTAATTATCATCAGCATTTATTGATAATATATACCACGTCATGCTTCTGTTCTAAAAGGGAAGATTGTTTTATTAAAATTTGGTTCACATTTAACAAAATAAGCATTTATAACTTTAAAACTGTTAATGCTTAAAAGCTATTTTAAAAATATCTCTTTCAGAGAAGAGTACGAAATATCTATTTTGCTATCATTTGAGACAGTAATTTCGGCACACTGTGCGCGCCCGGGAGTCGCAGCGGTATTAATTACCCGGACTTTATTTTATGGTTCCGCGGCGGCAATCGGCATATGAGCGGCCGCTTCTATTCCGGGTGCCAGCGCGGCGCGGCGTGGCGCGGTCCGCCGTGCCCCTCCGCGATCTCTTATCACCCGCTGCCATAAACTATGTCCCTGTCGGGGTCACCACGGCCGCCGCTCAGGCTGTTCTGCCAAGGCGGTTGCCAACTTGCCGGGCGCACATTCATTGAAAGGTTCAGGGCGAGAGAAACCTCGATGCCATCTCCACTGTAACGTGTATTACATACCGGGAGGTGGCGGTTATCACTTTTTTGCTGAAATGTGAGGCCAGGCGCCGACCTACACGTCGGTTTGTGGGGTTTCTCCGGCCAGATATTTTTCCCAGCGAACTACTACCCCAGCTGGGACTATTCCTCAGTTTCCCTACCAGTCTCCCGACATGTGCGGTAAAGTTGTACAAGTTAATGTGAGTGTAATGGGACAGGAGAGGTCCAGGATGAGGAAGGCAAGATCACATGCGGTCCGTTGCCCATTTGTAAAGATACTGCTTCGGCATTGTCCTGGAATTCAGAGAAACCACGGACACTACTGGTCAGAGCAGCTACAATTCAGTTCCAAACAGTGAC